AATAGGCATTCACCTCATCTGAACAGCACCCGCCACCCATAGCGAGTCCAACAGCCCGCGCAGTTACATTCACTCCATAATAAAATAATGTTACATATATACAAAGTCCTTTTTTCTAAAGCGAGACGTCGAGACCATAGAGTGGACTGGTTACAAATTGGGTTAATTTTTATCATATAGCTTCGTCAGCTGTTTACAATCTTGTAACGAAAACCGTTTTTATACGAAAGCATTTATATAAGCAAATAAAAACTACAACCCCGCCTGCCAAACTGAAAAGAAAAGAAGAGAAGAGAAGAGAAGAGAAAAATACCCCATTGATATTATGTTGGCAAAGCCCTGACAAATAGTGATATCTAACACTAGGGATGCTTACTTTATTATTATTATTGGACTTTAGATGTCACAGTTTTTGGACAATTCAATTTCTACTTGTCGTTTCATGTAAAGTCATCTTTTTCTAATGAAACACATTGAGGTTTGATAACAGCTTGCCTAATATACATATGTTGACTGACGCATGCGCAGAACGGCGATTATAGGGCTGCAAGTTGTGTATTACCGCCGAATGAATTTAACGAATGAAAGTCCTGAAAAACTGAGAAAAAATAAAAATACTGAGAAAGAGTGCATGAAAAACAAGCGTGTTTATTGCAAACGAGCAAACTTGAAAGTCACTAACTCAAACCACTGACGTAAGCCGCATAAAGGAAAAGGAGAAAATTTCCTCTCGCTGACATCAGCAAATAAAAACTGTTTCAAAAATTCACAGACCGAGTATTATCGCTCTTTAATTGCATTCAAAAAATGTTCGCAATACACGGGAAATAGAGTGTGTCGTATACCAAACATGCTAAAGTTTCTTATATATGAATTTGTCAATTATTTCTATTTAAAAAAAGACATCAATTATTGTTATTCCTAATATTTATTGATAATTGTGAATGTTTCAATTTATTAGGGGATATACCTTTATCCACTTTTATCAACGACCGGCTCCCACTAAGTATCTGCTCCCCTTTAGCTGATTCGTAGCATTATTTTATTTTTTGATGATGTAATTGGCTACAATATTTTCTCATGTTGCTAAGATATCTTACTATTTTAATAGTCAATTTTTTAAAAAATTTCCCGCAGACAGCCGGTTTGGTAATATTTTAAGTTAGTAACTGAATGAGACACAGAAATATTGTAAAGTTCACATTGTCCTCTACTAAGATACTAAGTCACATGCTTGATCGAAATGATTACTTAGACTTTCAGAATTTCATTTTGATATTTTCCGAGGCAGGGTTTTCRATGATGAGGTATTATCTAGCCGCCATATTATGACATCTAAATAACTAGTCGAAGTAGGGGACCCTGCAGCTATAAGAATGATAATATGACTTAAGAGACAGGAAGTTAATATTACTGCACCTGCAGCCCCTAGTGTTATTGATCACGAAAAAAGGTAATAATTTGGAATATTTAGGGAGTCTGTAATGCGCCAACTATTTCCCTCGGGGGATAGTAATACATCCCTTGTTACATATGCTATAATTAGAACCAAATCTTTCCCTTGTAAATAGTATCCCCCATTTCAAGAGATTGGAGTACAAGAATCTCTTTTGTGGGCGGCGTTCTGCGATCGTCACTCTACTTATCGAATTAAAGTTCCAGCATAATTGGAAAAAAAAATTTTTTTTCGAATTGCCCGCGGTTTTCGATTTCTTCGATTTTAGTTGTGAAAATTAAAATTAATTTTCTGAATTTTTCTCCGCAACGAGCACTGGAGATCTTTAGAAGCAAGGGATTAAACGAAAATAGCGAAACGATTTTTCTTGTCAGTCTGATATGTATGTGTATGTAAATCAGTCTGATATTTTAAAGTAAAAAAGTGCAATGTTCGTAAACCGACAATGTAATACAATTGGCAATCGTTTTTGAATATCGATCTGCTAACATCTTAGTGAGTAAGTAGGTGAGTGAGTGACACATTTGCATATTCAGACCCCTGATTGGCAATAACTCGTTTCTACGATTCGTGTATCCACGAGTTTATTAAGGGGGGCTACTGTATTACAATATCATTGTAAAGATGTTTTTAATATCACTATGTTCATGTCGTGTTATTTATTTCAAATTTCATTGATGTTTTGTCACTGCGAAATGAAAACCGGATGGGACTGTCACTAGGAGTCCCAATGCCTCCTCTGGTCTGTTTGGTCGGTGGAGATGTAAACGTTAGCATCAGGCTGACTTTCCCTTAACATTCGAGACTTTAGACGTTTCTTCAATTACCATTTTTTCCCCTTTTCCAATTATACAAACTAAAATATTTGTGGACATGAGGAATGAGCACGAGCATTAATGGAATAAATGCTTTKAAAAAAAAGGCTTCGTTGCCGGACATAAATGAGATAGATTTAGAATCTGACATCATTGCCTGCCGCTCAGACCTACGGAGAGGGAGAAAAATAGCCTCTGCTCGCAGGGTAGCATCATTGCAAAGTTGCAAGCTATGATTACATTTTGAAGAAAACAACCAGATCTATTTAGTAAGGGCTATGAATTGTGTTCTCAGAATGTATTCCTTATATTATCCATTAGAAACAAATTGTTTCTATAATGAAGCTACTTCCTTTGATGTATGCTGCTTTGAAAGTAAAAGTTGTAATGATTAATAATTCAAGGGGTTTGTCGAAACAAGGAACATATTGGTAGTGATGCAACGGATCTGTTAATTTATTTTTATTATATAGTTAGGATATTACGCTCGCGCTGATTGATTGAAAACTGTGCTTTATTAGCGAATAGAGTGCAGTGCTGACGCCATCCGCGCTCGCGAATTTCCGCTATATCCTGCGACCATCTTTCCTTTTGTAACTATATAATAAAACGAATAAACCAGCTGTTTCTGTGCACCGTTCAGTTATAATGAAAGCACTATAACAACTATATCTTTCTCCTCGCAATATATGTAGTGTGATGATCGTTCATTTCGTTTAAAATAATACGTTTTTAAGTTAATTAGTAGATAAAGGGTAACCTGACTTTATCTTGATGATTATTGTTATCAGTTCAGAATTGATGTGGTTGCACTATAAACATTACCCATACATTTAAAGTGCCACTACGATCAAATTTCTGATTGCTCTTTTTTWGCATGGATCGAAATACATTTGATATAGAAGTAATCTGCAGCTTTCTTTTTCCAGATATCTTTTTTCCTTCAAAAGATATTGCAGTTTTAAAAATGGCGGCCATTTTTCTTGATGACGTCATATTCTTAATAACTCAACAGCCTAAGATTATGATAAGCTATATCTCAGCCCAATTTCAATTAAAATGCTAGTATCACAGTTCTCTAGCTATTCTTCGAATTCAAAAGAAGCTATAGAGATAAGTTGCCATAGCAACAGCCTCGGTTCCAGGCCACCCCTACCTAAAATTCAGGTTATATGAAATTTCCACCTTGGTTAGGCCAAGTAAAAAAATTACATGTTTATCGTCCCCGCCGGGCCGATGAAAAACCGAAACG